TTTTTAAACTTTATACAATTGCAAAAACTTTTTATATATTTTACAAACCTTTTCAAAACAACTAAATAATTATATATCAAAAAACTATTTTAATTTTATTCATTGCAAACTATATGAGATTAAATTCTCCCTATTTATTATTCCTCATAGATGACTAAGTAGACTTTCTTTTAACTGTTAAGTTGCCCTCTCCCCACTATCATAAAAGGTTGTTAAAGTACCGCGATATTGAATGTGATATTTATTTCTGTTCTGGTATCATGCTCTATATGCGATACATTTGACATCTTTATCGTTGTTATAATTTTTTATCTACCTTTTATTTACAAAATTTATATAAAGCAATTCCTAGAAGCAGCATCGGGAAAGTAGAACCATTTTGCTTCCAAAATTTTGAAGGTGGTATGGGCGAGGCATCTGAAAGGGAGTAGGATCAGAAATCTTCATGGGCCTTAATTTTTTGATCAGGCCTAATCTAGGCCCCAAGTATAAAAAAATTTTAGGCCAAAGCCCGACCAATATTTATTATTATAAATTCCAAATTCCGGTCAAAGTCAAAGTTTCAAAATTTTCCTAAGCCTCAAAAATTTAATTTATTGGTCTTAATAAAGATCAATATTTGAGTTTATTTTCATGCAATCATTTTGTTTACTACAATACTAAAGTTTATTTAATAAACTTCAAGTAGAAAATAATTGCAATATTTTTTTATGATGGCAACTCTTTTAAATAAACTAAATTTCTTTAAAAAATTTGGCCCAAGCCCTAAAAATGATTTTCCAAAACCCAAGTCTGATTTATTGCAGGTGTATCAATTAAATATTTGGATGAAATAAGGCTAAATCATAGTGCTTAAAACTGCTTCGTTGTCCTAAAAACACCTTCAATTGGCGCAGAGGGTGGGAGGGTTGTATTATATTATCTAAATGCAAAAATCTCATTATATCGGTATATACACTTTTATAAAAAGCCCTGTTGCTCTGTTCTAGATATTATTTTAGAGTTATCTATATCTATCTTTATATGCATTTTGATATCATTTTATTTTATGTTTTTATTAAAAACAATAATATTATTAAGATTCAAGTCGTAAATTACCTTGACGATTATCAATTTGACTTTAGGGTCAAAGAGGGTAGCGAGGCTGTTGCCCAAACCCTTCGGATTTATATCGGTAATCCTCCACTTAATTCAGTTTTAAGTTGATTTTAAATAGGTTTTTTATAGACCTGCATTCTCCTTAAAATTCTTTGAAAGATTTCCTAACTATTCCCATTATATAAATTCTTGTTATGGCCAGAATTCTTTTTTTAGTTTTTGGGGACAATGTTTGAATTCCGAGGAGGGTATCCAACAAGGGGATTCTTTTGGCTAACTCCTCTTTTGCCTAGTATTCATGACATCGTTTCTAATATAGTCAGATTTAATCTTGACCATAACCTTTGGTACCTGGACGTCGGAACCTTATGTGGTCCAGAGTCTAATGTGTTAGAAGCCATTAATTTCTTAATTGATGAATCCAAAACCATAGATCTTGTTTTATAATTTGGACAAAACAGAAATTAGTTTTTAGATGGATCCCCATCAGGTTTTAATTGCGTTAAGGTTATTTATCGGAAGTCAATCTCCCTTTTAGGATCCCCGTTATAGTGCTATCCCCATAATAGAAAGTCTATAGAAATAAACTCTTTGCTTAACTAAATAGAAAACAATATTCCCGCCCACCTATCTTTATATTTAATAAGGAAATTTAACATCATTTTTAGGCTTCATCTTCATTTCTAAACTTTTCCTTCCTTTCAACCTTAGACATGAAAATTAAAAACTTCCTTGAGGTTATCTTAAACATTTATTTTTCTGAATTTAGTTGGGTCATTGCCCAACTTCCGACCAATTTAGGGACACTCTCTCTTAATTTAGTTTCTTTATCAGCCTTCCTTTCTTCTCCTCTTCAATGCGAGGAGGTCTTGTGAGGGGTAGGGATAGTCTATTTGAAACTGCCTGTGACTTATGAAAGAAAATTTTATGCCTTTTATCTCTTCCACAGCCCTCGGCAAACAGAGACTTTCTTAACTCCCATCTGACTAACTTTAAGAAATTGATGAGAATTAACCCCTCCATTGAAGACACTCCAATCCTTAAATACTTGGGACAAAATTCAGGCCATGTATGGTTTGAAGCTGCTTAGTGCTGATCTCGGCCTTCTAAGGGTAGAATATTTGGCTGTTACAAATCTACCCCAAATATGCAAAGGGTGAAGGGAAAACTCTGACCCTAAGGACCGGCATGGTTTAGGTTGTTTGCATTCTAAAGGTCGGTTCAGTCGACATAGGGTATTTAACTCTATACTCGTATAAATTAGGGTTGACCAACTACCCTAACCTTCTGGAACCAATCCACTTATCCCTGTTGGATGGAAAAAGACCAGATGGGCTCACTAACATCCTTGGTTTAGAGAAAAACACCTTATTTGGGATTTCACTTGTGTCTCCCAATTTTCCTCTAACCCAAATGATCAGATTATTACAGCTGAAAGATCAAAAATTATAAAATATCACGACTTTCTAATTTTCACTTTATCCAAATAGTTATTTCTAGGCACTAGACTATCATTTTTTTTTTAGATTTTATATAAATAAATTTCTCAAATTAATTTGGATTACGGATCCGCGTTTAAGATTGAGTGATCGAGATTATTTTATATTACGTTTTATTTTATCGTATCAACATTATTTTAAAATTGAATTTAACTTGATATCAATATCAATTGTCAAAATAAATTGATTTTAAAATAATGTTAATACGATAAAATAAAACTTTATTATAAAATAATCTCGATCAATTATTTAACAAAGATGTTACATTCAACTCAAATTGCTATATTTCGAGGCAACTATCTTAGTTTCCTCGGATCTCAATTAGACTCCTTTTTTGCCCCCCCCCCTCCTCCTCCTCATAAATTTTATTTTAAGCAATGGATGACGACAACATGGCAAATTTTATATTATCATTTATTTGATTAGGAAAATAATTTCTCCACGAATATAATTCCCCAAATAAAATATTTTAAAATTTTGAGAAAGTCAACAAAATTAAAAAATTTCAAAATCCCAAATAAAATTGTTAACCAAAATTATTAACAATAAAAAGTAGTTAATGTTAAACTAAATTTAATCTAATTTTTAAAATATTGTCGAATAACCCTAAACCATATAATTAATAACTTTATGGCCTTATCTCGAACCCAGTTTTAGTAAAATTTAAGCAAAGAAATTATTATAAAATAAACTAATGCTTAACTATATCATACCCCTAATCTTAATTATCTCTTAGATACGTTGCTGTGGTATTAAACAAAATATTATTATAAGTTAACATTTAATTGCAATGATCCGGCCCGAATTTTCTAAAAAAAATTTAAAATCGATTTTTTGGCAGACAGCCAGGTTTTTGATTTAAATAAATATAAATCTGAAATTTGTGTTTTAAATTCACCTCTCGAAGTTTCGAGGCTTAAATTAATTAAAGGATTATTAAATAAATTCTTGTTTGCCTTTAAACATTTTCCCCAAGTTTTAGATATTTATGGGAAAAAATTTAAAGGTTTATAATGACTGGAAGAAATTTTATAAAAAATACTATCAATTTTTTCTTTTAAAAAATATTTACAATTTTTAGAACATAGATTCAAAATTATGAATTTATTTATCATTTTCTAAAAGTTTTTTAAATATCCTAATGAGAGATTTTAATTGAGGGTTTTCTTAAAAATGGTTAGTCATATAAAAAAATTTCAATTAACTGGAAAAGTGGTTTGACATAAATTTACTCCTCTCTCCTTTCCATTTATAAAATAGTTACCCCTATAATATTTTATCTTAGCTTTTTAAAAATAATCTTTTGTAATTGTTTCATTTTCATCGTAGCCACTCTTAATTAAGTGTCACACTTTATTTATAAAATGTCAAATTTCTTATTTGAATCTTTTTATGCTATCGCTGCTAAATAAAAAGATATCAAAGATACTACCAAATTTATCGAGTCTCATATTTTATTAACCTATTTAATAAATCAGAATTTAAACGGAAACCCCCCTTAAACATTGAGAATACTCAAAGCTCAGAAAAAATACTGAAAGAATTATTTCATAATGCTCAGATATAAAACGGAATTGCCCAGAAAAGGGATATTCAGTTATAAATTGCCCAAAAAAATATCTGAAAGAATAAAATAACTTTTTTCTATTGATTTTAAGAAAATAATATATAAAATTTGGGCCAAAATTAAATAAATTAGATTAAGGCATCTATACGGAATAAAATTATATTAATTTAAAAATAAATATCTCTGGCAATGGATAAGTCTAGAACATGTATCATTTTAAACGTTCAAAAATGACGAAAGAGAATAGCGCCCAACACACTGAAAAATGGATAAAAAATTTTTATAATTAAAATTAAATTTTTATCATAGGAAATATGATTCTTTTATATATTAAGACTAAAAAGCATAGAAATACTTCCCTAAATTTTATTATTTTGATATAAACAATAGTAGAAATTTTACGCCTAAAAAGAACTGGATGTTATATTCAGATTATATAAACATTTTTTAGATATTTCTTATATATTCACTTATATAAAAGTAATCTCATAGTCTTATCTATTTTATTTGAATTACGCCCAACAAATAGAGAAAATCACAGGGATGTGAACCCGTACCCTCATATTTTTGCTGAACCATAACCCAAACCCTTTTTAAAACATGAGGGTTCACAAGGTATCAAAAAATATTTTCTGAAAATAATAAACTATAAAAAAATTCACAAAAACATATTTTCTTCGCATTTTTCAAAATTTTCAGTTTTCCTATCTTATAGCTAAAATAAAATTTTATTATAAATACTATAATATTCACAAGTTTATGTTCTTATTATTATTTTATAAAAATAAGACTAAACTATAATTTATTGACTAACTTATCCGTATAAATACCACCAATATGTTATAATATTTATATTATATATAAAAAATTTAAACTGGATGATAAATACCAAGAGATTAGTATTACTAGGTCTAATATAGAATCATTGCAATAGTTATAATTAATGCATACAAATGTTTAACTTCTTTTTACACGCCGCCTTACTACATTGACATAATAATCGTCATTATACATTTACGAAAATATAAAAAATAGATAATATTAATCTTGCTCATCTCGCTCACCTTCAACCTTTGCATAGTCTAATTTTGCATAAAACGCATTCGTCTTAGAAATTTCGCATTTCACTTCGGCTTCGTTAAATTTTTGAGCCCATAACAAGGCTTTATTTTTTTTGATTTCGGGAAGAGAATTAAGCGACACCATTTTAAACATAACACCGATTCCGAGAAAACCAGCGCACTTCAAACAAAACTCAGCATTTTTCGACACCTTGAAATCGTGAAAATAGGCCACGTCTATGAATCTCGCCCATTTCCATCCAAATTGAATATTTTCTACATTCATATGAGCGCGATAAAAACGGTCAAATCTCATGTAACTATCGATAGTATCATCGGATGTAAAATAAGAAAAAAGTTTGTTTTTACTCCAACCTTCTACTTCCTCCTCCTTAGCCTTTATAACTGCGAGTGCTAAAGTGATCATCCTCATTCCGTTTTCCCTACTGTGAAACATGCAAGTCGCGTCCAAGATATCAACGATTGGCTTATTAGGAGGATGGGATCGTTTGCAATGAACATATACGGCTGTTAGTATGCTAAATACGTTCCTACATAATGGATGCCCTCTATAAAATGTGTTCTTTAATTCAGATAAACATGTTTTGTGAGGATTGGGAAATATAACAAGTTTCATATACAATGATTTATATAATCTTTCAAGATCTGAAAACCGTTTTGAAATCGAGTCTACAGTTTTGACAGTAATCCTTATCAAAATCAAAGCCATAAATCCTACAATTCTTTCCAAAAAATTTAATTTTTCTTCACCCTTCTCTTCTAAAAATCCGAAACTAACGTAAGGTAAAAAATTGCTATTTCGAACATCTGTTAATGTAAGATCAAGACAGGTTGGATTAAAATTTTCAATCAGCGGCACAAGGATAGACCCCTCGCTAGAAAAATGATTTTGAAAAATATAAGTTCCAGTTTTATCTCTGGCCAAAAACATCGCGGCTCTCAAAATAACCCCCGCTTGAAGTCCTTGCGTATCCCCTGTCGAGAAAAATTTCAGAAATCTGTAACATATTTGTTTTCTAACAGATATAGTTAAGGGTTTGAATTTGATTTTATCAGCCTCTACCAAAAAGGATGCATCGTCCCAAGTGTTAATGGAAATAATAGGATCTAAAATTTCACAAGTGGAAGGGCCTTGAAGATTTCCAAGTGGCTTTATTATACCTTTATATTGACGAACCATGTTTAAGAGGTGAACCTATAATTGACAGGGAAAAAATGTATATAGATAATGAATGATAATTAAAGATTAGGAAATGCACTAATCTTGTGTATAGTCTTGTTAACGAATTAATCAAGAACTGAAGCCAAGTTTTGGGTCGAAAAAACAACCTACAACATTCGAGTTATGAATTCGAGCCGATTAGAGGACGATTATTTCAAATTAGTATTTAAGTAACATTTGTTCGGTTCTTTTTCATGTGGTATATTTTTTACTTGAGTAGTGAATATGAGTTATAAACTAGAGTCGTGGACTCGATTCATTTGAGTCGTAAACTTGTGTTGACTAGAGTATGAGTATTCAAATTAGTAATTATCAACAACATCGAAGTAATTATAATGAATTTAAATTAAATCCCATTTTTACTAATTGTACTATTCTTAATTTGAAAATATTGTATATTTTTACTTTACGCTATCAATATAAACGTCGCCCTAGTTATAAATAGAGGACGACCAATTCTATATTAATCGAATATAAAAAATTAATAAAAATTAGTGAAAATGAATATATGTAAGAGATCTGCAAAGCCCGGCCCGTAGCTAGGTGGAGCTTAATATTTAAAAATATTTGGGCTGAGCTTACATCTTGAAATATAAATTTTGCAGGAAAGAAGGCACCAGTATTTTTTTAAATAATTTTCTATATTTAAATTGGGCCGGAGAGTTTTTATTTTTATCTCTGGTCTAGTTTTTAAAGACAAATAAATAGAAAACTCCTGATATTTTTTTAAAAACCGATCCGATCAGATATTTTTTATTGTTTTTGGTTGTTTCATGATTGTATATAAAATTATAATTTTTTTTTATTTTATAAATAATTTCATAATAATAAATTAATAAAAGGAACTAATATACAACCTATTTGTTGGAATGTCTAGAAAAATAGTTAAAAATTTTACACTATTTTTGGTGATTATCTGCCACAAGAAAAGAATTTTAAAATATCTAACGAGTCACATTCAGTCAATGTTGTTAACCGGATCAATGTATTCAATTTTTAAAAATGGTCATCTCAATATTTTGATCAAAAGTAAATTACTCTAGCTTATTTATCTGGCCCACATATGGCAGAAAGTTGTAGACTTCTATTGGCGAAATTTTGGGGCTTAGGTAATAATATTTTGGCTAAAAATCTTGATTTTGCCCTTTTAAAAATCGGCCAAATGGAGCTGTTTAACAATATTACACATTCACCCATAAACATTGCAAATATTAATGAGATTATTAACATTTGGAGAAAAAGAAAATATTGATATTTTTATAATATAAATATAGATTCGGTATTAGATCGGTTTTTTAGAAATATGGGATAGGTGAATAATTTTTAGATCGGCACAAAGCCCTGTATTAAATCAATATTTATTTTGATATTATTTATAAATTAAATTCCAATATAAGAATAACAGTGAATCCACACTTTTTTCGATTGCAAATTCTTTCCAGCAATGCTAAATCATAATAGAGAAGAAGCGGTAGTTGCTGGAATTGCAAATATTTTTCTAGCTAATCTTGATAACTTTGATAATTCATTTTCCTGCCATTTTCACCAAAGTAAGATATCCTTTTAAATATATCTCCCACTTGAGATGAGATCTAGAAATAAAAAAGAAAGGTTTTATCTTAACCCCTCAAGATATCTTGTTGGGGTAAAATGGCTATGGATTGTTGTTAAAAAGTCGAATTCACCCGACTCCGACTCAGAGTCTGAAGTCGTTAGTCGTGAACTCACAAGTCGACTCAAGTCGTGAACTCAAGTCGACTCAGGTCGTGAACTCAAGCCGACTCAAGTCGTGAACTCCAGTCAACTCGAGTCATGCACTCAAGTCGATTTGAGTCGAGAACATGAGTTTTCCATTTGAGTCGTGAACTTAAGTCGACTAGAGGACGAATATTTTGAATAGGTATTGTATAATATTATTTTTGTTACAATTAATTTGTGGTTTTCATGCAAAATTTGAATTGATAAGAATTTAAAATCTTCTTTTTTAATTAATATTTTTGTGAATTATAAATCTTTTAGTTGAAATCTTTTATAGGTTTATTCTTATCATTTTTGTAAAATTATCTATTTTTTTAGTATATTAAAAGAATTAGTTTAAATAATTTATAAATATTTGTATTAAATTTTTATGTTATTTATAATATTTTAATGTGACAATTGTCATGCTATTTTTTAACATTTTTGAAATTTTTAGTACTAAGGGTAAAAATATAATTTATATTATAAATATGTTAAACTATAAATTCAATGATGATGTTCCTTTGTAAAAATGACAAATATCATAATCTATATTTTAAACATATTAGTTTATTTTTGACGCTATAATGGGTAAAAATATAGATTGTAAATATGTTAAATTAAAATTTCAGCGAAAATTTCCCCTAGATAAGTGACAATTGTCATAATCGTTATTTTTAAAGTTTTTTGAAATTTTTTGACGCAAATAAGTATAAATATAGGCTGTAAATACGTTTAATTTAAAATTCAGTGAAGATGTACCATAGATATGTGACAATTGTCATAATCGTTATTTTTAAAATTTTGTGAAATTTTTTAAAGCAAATGGGTAAAATATATATTGTAAACATGTTAAATTAAATTTTCAATGGAGATCTACCATAAAGTGACAATTATCATTTTTAATTTTTTATTTAATTTTTTTGAACTTACAGGGTAAAATAATAAATTGTAAACATGTTAAATTAAAATTTCAGTGAATATGTACCATAGATAAGTGACATATCTAATTCTCAACTCCCTTTTGAAATTATTTTAATATATATATTTTGAAATTATCACATTACTCATATCCATTATTTTTAAATTAGGTTAATATGATCTTGTTGGGAAACACTTAAACCTCTGGGCAGATGATAATACTATCATATATGTTAAATTTTTTGAGCCAACCGGAATGGAGTTGAACTAGAAAGATGCATCAATATAAAACATGATATTTTTGGGAACAACAAATTTAAAAATATTTTTTCTTTAATCTTTTAAATCAATTTTAGATCTTAGAAACTACTATTTGGATATATCTAGTAAAATATGCCCCTCTCTGATTATACTATTCATACAAAAAATCTATTTATATTGTTATCATCTAAATCAATCATATATATGAATTTTAATTTATTAAAATTTCAATGTAAACAATAACTTTATAATGAAATAGGTTATATAAATAATGATTTAAAATATCACATTATTTAACAATGTACGATTAAGCTTTATAATTAAAATATCATCAAGTATATCTTTGTCTAATCTTGTCCTTAGAGAGGTTACAGTTAGTGCTAATGCACTAAATGCTCTCTCAACTGAGACCTGGGTGCAAGGAGCAGCAAGAATTATTTGAGATAATTTAAATAATTCTGCATCTTATTTTTTTTATTTTGCATTATATATAAAAAAAAAATTTTGTAATTTTTAATTTTAAGTTTAACTTTCTTGTTTTTTCCTTTTATTTTTATTTTCACTTATTTATTATATTTTGAAATAAAAAATCAGGAATTAATAATGTTATATGAAATAAAAAAAATGAATAAAATAATTGTTTTATAATAAAACCCCCATTTATAAATTTGGGTGGGATACATTTATTTAATGTTTTTTTTATTTATATTTATAAAAAATCAAATGTTAAATGAAGATAGTGTTGTTAATTAGTTGATTTCTTCCGACTAAGACTAATAGTCGTAGTCGAGGAAATCGACTAAAAACTTTAGCGACCTCGACGACTAAAACGACTAATTAGTCGACTAAAACGACTAATTTAGTCGACTAATCAGAGAAGATAAACAAAAAGAAGTAAAGTGAGAATTTGTCATTAAAATAACTATATGAGTTATATATAAGTTTTTTTAATATTTTTTGAATTTATTTTTCTTTGAAGGAACAGGTTAAAATTATAAATTGTTATTTTTGAACTTTTTTTAAATTATTTTAAAGCAAGGTATAAATATATATTGTAAACATGTTGAATCAAAATTTCAGTGAAGATGTACCATAGAAAAGTGACAATTGTCATAATCGTCATTTTTAAGTTTTTTTGAAATTTTTTGAAGCATATGGGTAAAAATATATATTGTAAACATGTTATATTTAAATTTCAGTGAAGATGTACCATAGAAAAGTGACAATTGTCATAATCGTCATTTTTAAGTTTTTTTGAAATTTTTTGAAGCAAATAGGTAAAAATATATATTGTAAACATGTTAAAATAAAATTTAAGCGAAGATGTACCATAGAAAAGTGACAATTGTCATAAACGTCATTTATAGGTTTTTTTTGAAATTTTTTGAAGCAAAAGGGTAAAAATATATTGTAAAAATGTTATATTTAAATTTCAGTGAAGATGTACCATAGAAAAGTAACAATTGTCATAATCGTCATTTTTAAGTTTTTTTGAAATTTTTTCAAGCAAATGGGTAAAAATATATATTGTAAACATGTTTTATTTAAATTTCAGTGAAGATGTACCATAGAAAAGTGACAATTGTCATAATCGTCATTTATAGGTTTTTTTGAAATTTTTTGAAGCAAAGGGGTAAAAATATATGGTGAATTCCATATCAAATCGACAAAAAAGTCAATTTTCAACCCTATCCTCTTCATTTTTTTTAAATTTTGCACATTGGTAGTATATACTATTTAAATTAACATGTTTACAATTTATTTTACTGTTACTTCAAAAAAGTTAAAAAAAATAATGATTATGAGAATTGTCACTTATCTATGGTATATCTTCACTGAAATTTAATATAATATGTTTACAATATATATTTTTACCCATTGGCTTCAAAAAATTTCAAAAAAACCTAAAAATGACGATTATGAGAATTGTCACTTATCTATGGTATATCTTCACTGAAATTTTAATATAACATGTTTATTTACAATATATATTTTTACCCATTTGCTTCAAAAAATTCCAAAAAAACTTAAAAATGACGATTATGACAATTATT